ATTTTTTTAATACATTCTACCTTACCACAATAAACCAATTTGCGTCCTGCGGTGGTGAACTAAGCCTTTAATTATTTTTTCCATTGTACTTTACAAGTTAACTTTAAACTTAAAAAGAGTGGTTGCAACCGCAATGTTTTTAAATTAGTTGATATTTGTAAAGTATATGCCTTAATAACAGGCTGCTCACTCAATTCCTGGTAAGTCCTACTTTTTTGGTGTCCCTATTTAAGTCAATCTCGGCGTTTAAGATGGCGCCCTTTACTTTGTTACTTTAATTTTTTCCATTTGTTAACTTTCTGCTTGCCTCTAATTAATTAGTAGTTGTTCAATATACTCATCTCTAAATGCTTCTTATTTTTACCATCTTTCACTAAATCCTTAGATTAATGAGACTTACAGTTTGGAATTGACCTTCCCACTTAGCAATTATGAAGTGCACATATTAAAATTGCTTTTTACAGGAGTACACATCGTAATGGATTGACCATGTAGAGCGTTTATTCTTCTTTTCTTCGTCCTGGCTCTTATTCTAATGGAATTTACGGAACAACAAAGTGATTTACTGAGTAATTTAGGTTTTTTTAAAAAAAAGGTGGTTTTCATTATGTGCCGTCGACTGCCTTTCTTCTGGACAATCGTCATCTCTTTCATCAAACTTTTAAATACAACAAAGAAGAGTGTAAGGACCCGAAATGGGTCCCTACTAAGGACGAGACCAGGAATAGTAATCCAAACCATGGAAATTTAAATAATTGGATTGAAGAGATAGAAACCGATGTAGTTAGTTTGCAACGAAGAAAATTACTTGACCTTCTTTTGCAAGACCTCTACTTATGTATACCTTCCATTAAAAGGTAGCTTCGCTCCTACTGGACTAGCAGAGGTCCAACCACTTGTCTTGGCAAAAAATATGACACTAAAAACGGTGGATAACGCTGAGTTAAGTACTCTAACAATAATTCTAGTAAATAATAATATATATTCGACAAGTACCAAGAAACTTTCCACTCACTGCAAAATGGATCCATAGTAACTCTATAGAAGTTACGAAAACACAGGCTGATTGTGAAATTCTTAAACTCTTTATAACCCAAAAGAGCCCGGATAAAGTATTTTAAAAAGCGATAAGAATGTTTGACTTCATATGATATAGACATGAAGTTTGTATATGGCCAAATTTAATTCATAAGACCACGAAAAACAATTAGCTAACATGAAAACACAATGAGCACCGGACGAAACCACCACACAAACACAGGGAAAAAAAATTATTACTACAAAGAGTGACGAGCCCAGCTCTTTGGCTTGGGATTTCTCTGATTATTTATACCTAAAGATTTCTGCCTTAATTGCTGATTTTATCGTGGTCCCCTGCCTGTAAGCTTCGGTTTTTAATAGCGTTATTTACTAAATTAGTTTTCTCTTGGCTTTTTACGTAGCTGCCTTGCCTACACTATAGATGCACTTGCAAAAGTACCTGCGAACAATATAAAGGTAGTCTAGCCTTATAGAGGCCACTTAGTTATAAAAGACGAGATAGGTTTGTATCTCTATTCTGGCGCCCGTTAGGCTTAGATAGTTTATAGCATAAGACAGGACAGGCAAGCCGGAAACCTGCAAACTGTACTAACTCGTCATACCTACTTGGCTTTCACCTTGCGTACCCCAGAAAAGTAATTAGTATCTTCATTGTTTTTAAAACTTGGTAGATTTTCAATTCTAATATCTCTTAACTGGATATCTATTAAAATAGTTGGTTACTTTAGTAAAAAAGTGACACCAAAGTGTAATAAAGGGGCTAGATACATACAAGAGAGAAAATAGAAATTTTCATATTCACAACAATTTGACACTAGTTCCAAAAAGACAACAAATATAGTTTTAAAGTTATACCGCTAGTGTTAATTAGTATCAATCTTTGACTTAGTTTCATGCAAGAATGGAGAATTATAGCAGCAACTAATTTATAGGTGGAAGAGGTGTCCAAAACATGGCGGGAGTACTTCTTTAAAGTCTTGTTAGATGGATAATAACAAAACGCTCTATTTGCGCTCCAGTGTTATTAGTACCTGTTACTCATGCTGTGATGGAATATAATGGGGGAGAAACTAGTTTTGATATTATTTATTGCACCGGCGTGCTAAAGTCTTTATGAGTGAAATAACTTAAATTGCTGAATGAATATCCTTAAAAGTGTTTGAAAGGTTTCTCTTCCCGAAAAGATATTGACCTTAAAAGCATAGTCTGAAGAAAATTTAAACTACTAATAAGGTCTATAAGAAAATTTTTTAACCTTCACTGATTTCATAGATAAAACATAAAGAAAAAAAGTAGTAGCTAAAGCTTTGAATAAAAGCTGGTAACAAAATGTACTGAAATCTGATTACCATTTTTTTCGCTGCTTGGTAAAGGAAGTCTTTGCAAGGCTAAAGCACAGTTTCGGTTAAGTTGCAGTTGCGTAAGGTGTTTAGTCGATTATTAATGGCGTCCGAATAGACCCACGCAACTGACGGGTAAGTGAGTACAGGCCGAACCAAGGATTAGTATAGTACAAGCTTTTTTTAAAGGCTGAGTTTCATCTTTTTTCATATCATGATAGAATGCGCTTCTTAAAGCTTTCGCCTTAATAATAGCGTAAATGGTGTGGCATGCCAATTTAGTTTAAAGTCAGTTATCACGCCAAAAAAAGTGTTTAAAATGGGCGCTCCGTTTATAACATTTCAGATTGGTCGGGGCCTTTTACTTTCTAGATAACAGTAAAGCTTTACACTTCGCAGCTTTACCACTTTCCAAAGATTTCAAAAGACAGTCGCTTTTGCTGTATCTCTGTAGGAGGTGCAGTTTAACTGCAATTGCGGTGTCTTCCGCGTATTGAGCCGTAAAGACCTTAGTAGACGTGGGCATATCATCTAAAGGTGAATGAAAATAAGATGATAAAGAACCATTAGTTTTCTTTTAGCAAATTTCTTAAAGTTTATATCTATGATAAAAGTTTTTTAGCGGAAAAAATATTGGTTATAAATAAGAAGTATTTACATAAAGCCACGTTTCGTTATATTAAAAATAATGCCCATGTGTCATACCTATCGACTGTTTATTTTCTTTTATTAAAAGCTTGCGAGACGCACTCCCCCCAAATCGTTAATCTGGAGCATATACCCTTTTTTCTATTACAGCTCTTCTAGTCCTTTTTTTAGATATGAGAGTAGGCTAAATGGAGGTAGTCTTGGACGAATTACTAACGTTACAAGTTTCGGGAAGAGTACAACGTTTTTTTTCCCTTTGAGTTAAGTTAAATTAAACTAACAAAAAATGAAAAGAAAGGTTATCTCTACCTTCAGAGATAGTAAAAGAGGTAAAAAAGATGTGGAATAAAAAAATAGTTTATCAAAGTAAAACTTTATACTATAGTTGTGCCAAAGTTGCTAAAAAGGCTGTTTATTAAATTACTCGTCTCTATATACTAATTTCTCCAAAGCTGCTGACCAATGAACTTCGAGATATTAGTTAATTATCTTAATTTGAAAATTTTGGGTTGTCGCACTTTAAAGAAACAGATTTACTGGGCGCTTAGCCAATTAATATGTCTAGTTAAGTTTTTAAGCAACAGTAAGATTGTTTATGGTTTGCATGTTATCGACTTAATTTAGTTAATATTTGCGTATAAACAACTTCACCGGTTTAAGCCTTTCTTAGGTATGGGTGTAAAGCAATTTAATAAACCTAAATTCCTTTCTTTTATATAACATTCCTAGTTATAGGCGCCACAGTTTAACTTTGACTACGCACAGGTAAAGCTGGAACGAACAGGTTTTATAGAAAAAAAAAAAAATAATAAATTTTTCTTGGCTAATAAGTTCGCTTGCTATTGTTAATTCTGAATTTGGCCATCTCTATACTAAGATTAAAAATTTCCTTCCCTTCTGAAGGCGGCGTCCACTTTTTGGCGTAGTGAGAGAGTTAACAGAGTTGCTTCACTCCGCATTAATAATGTATAAATATAATATGAAATTATGTGATAATAAAAGTATAAATTATTTGATAAAATTGGGAATAATAACTAATTAAAACAATAATAAAAATAATAATATAAATATAAAATTAAGATAGAGGTGCATTTTAACTGACATTAATAAACCATTAAACTATGGGTTTTCCGTTCACTTAATACTTGCCACATTTTACTATTATTTATTAAGGTCTTTTTACATAACATAGATTTTTAACTAGTTACTACATTGTGTAACCTTAAATGGTTAATCTCTATGTTGTCAGCATGCTTCATTAAAGTAAGCGTAAACAACGGGGAGGTAGGGGTTCAGTCAGGACTGGCTGGTATTCTTTTTAAATAAAAAAATAATACATGAAATTAACAAAGAATTTAGCACAATGCTTTTTATCTTGTTATAAATCTGATTCTTTAAAAGAACAAAAGAGGGCCCTAAAAACGCTAGGTATAGACGAGGGCCCACAATAAAAATATGTATAATATTAAAGATTTTTGTTAAATAGATATCTTTATCATTCATATTATGCCCCGTAAAAGCAGTAGTTTATATGAATTTACTCCGGCCTTCAAAAAGAGGGTGTCAACAAGGATAATATGTATACACTAGGCTTTTTTCTATTAAAAAGTAGTTTCTTCTAATTTAAATCATTTAATATCTACAAGAAGAGTCGAAAGATGTTTGTATAGAGCCCCTTTAGAGGTCTCTGACACTTGATAGCAATATCTATACTAAAATAAAAAGTTACTCCCAATAAAAGAAAGAAAAAACTCCTTTTGCGGTTTCAAGGTAAAAAATAATATTTTAAACCCTTTTAGATATATATTTGCCTTTTAACATAATATGCCGCTAATTTTAGGTAACTAAAGTCGAAAAAAAATTTTAATAGTAAGAAATATACAACATCTTTTAAAGTAAAAATATATTTAAATTAATTTGCATGTTTATGCGGTGATTTACGAAAGCTAATGGTGCGCACGTGTCAAGAAAATACGTTTCTGTCTTACCTCTACTTGAATGGGAACTTTAAATTAAAAAAAAAAAGACACACTATTCTGTACTTGTAGATGTGTATTATTAATATTAATATTTTGAATTTAATAATAATTTTAATTTCTTGATTTATTTTTTATTAAATTTTAAAAATTGTGTAAGCATGAAAGTAGTATAATACTTTAAAGAGGTCACTTCACAACTTGTAACCTGCCATTAACTTAATTTTATAAGTGATATCTTTTTATTGTAGTTGTTACAATTCTATTTTATTTATAACTCAAGACTTCTTACTTATGATAGTGCGATCCACACTGTGATCGGTGGGTTTGGGAAGACTTTTTACTACTGAATATTTTTTACCACAGAAATGGTTGAAACGTGAATTCTATTGTTCTTTTGATCCCTTTTTTGTATTTACAAGTTTATTAGTCTAGTGTTGAGCATTTTTAATAGGATCCAGTAATTTATTTTATTTTTTAATTTTTAATTGCTCTCCTACCATTTTTACAGTCTTATTTGCTTACTGATTTCAAAGAAAAAGCTCACGATGCTAGTATTTGGGCAGCTTGCTTTACACAGTCTAATACTAATTTAATTGTTACAGGCGGTTTAGACGATTTCGTTAAACTTTGGTATAGCTAAGTTTTAATTTTTTAAAATCATTTTTACTAAATTTTGAGCATTAATTTTTTGATATAAAATTTATATATTAATAGGAACTCTACTGACATTTCTTTTCAAACTCAATATAAGCATCATTTGGCAGTTATATCCGTTGCTGCTGACAGTTCTGGTATAAATTTTATTTTATTTATGATTTTTTTATGCAATAATACAAATTGTATAGGAAAATTCATTGTTTCTTCTTCTCTCGACAGCAATATACTTGTTTATGATATTGTAGAAGAAAAAGTAAAGCACAGTATCCAAGCGAGTGAGCCCATCTGGACCGTAACTTTTTCTCCAGATGCCAAATTCATATCTTGTGGAACAGCGAATTCTGCGGCTCTTGTGTATGATGTCGAAAGCGGTATTATTAATAGTGTTTTATAACTTGTTTTTTTTCTATAGTTTTTTAATTTAGATATTTTTATTATATTATAGTATTTAGGAACCTTTTTTTTGAATTTTGAATTTTTTAGGAGCTCAACTACATAAACTTCCTGGTTCTCGCCCGAACAAATACACGATGAGTTTGTCTTTCAGTCCTGATCAAAAATATCTAGCTACAGCTTCCGTAGACGGAACAGTTAATATATATGATTTTGGTAATTTATTTTTATAAAATTAATTTTTTAGCGTATTTTCGCGAATAATTTTTTAATTTTTTAATAATTTTGTTTTTTTAAATTTTTTATTAATAAATTACTTTTTAATTTTTAATCTTTTATATAATATCTACTGATCTTACTTACATACTACATTTCTTAAATTTAGTTATTTATAATTTTATTTATGGTTAATTCGGTATTTTGTGATTTTTTACTTCCAAATAATTTTAAAAATTTTAAAACTTAATTTATTTTATGAAGTAGAGTGAATTATTAAAACTTAATGGAAGGAGCGACTGTTTTATTTAAGACATTTATTTTTTTTACTTTTTTATAAACTTCTATTTTAATTTTATTATCACTTATTTTTTTTAATGTTATCAATACTTTTTTTAATTAGATTAATTTTTTGATATAGTATAATATTTTTTCAAAAGGTTATAGTCTTGCACTTTAGAGTTATACTTTTTAGAGATTATATTTATTCATAATTACAATTTATATATTTTTCCTTTTCAGAATTTTTTGTATAATTTAGGAAACTATGTTATTTACTAAATTATTTATTTATTTATTTTACTTTGATTATTAATTTTTTAATTTGCAAATTTATAATTTTTTAATAATAAAAAATTAGAAACACAAAAACTTTTGCATAAACTATCTGATGTCCATTCGTCTCCGATTCGGGCAATTACTTTTTCTCGAGATTCCCAATTATTAGTCACGGGCTCTGACGATGGAAATATAAAAGTTTATTAATAGAATTTGTATATTTAATAACTTTTTTTGCTTTTATTATTATTATTTAGAGAGTATTTTCTAAAATAATATTTTTTTATGCACTACAGCTTGATTATAATTTACCTTGTTAATTTTAAAATATTTTTCTGGTAACGGAATTTTAAAGTTTATTAATTAGAATTTGTTTATTTATATTGTATTTTTTTTAACTTTTTATATCTATTTAGTGAATATTTTTTAAGATATTATATATTGTTACGCATTAGGCGTGGTTATTATAATTTACTTTTGTAAATTTTGAAATTCTTTTATATCTTGGCGATGTAAATTTTTAAGTTTATAACCAAATTTTTGTAGGCAAATCACTATTTTTACTTTCTATTATTATATAGTAAAGGTTTTGTAAGATTTAATTTTTTTTTGTTACGCATTACAGCGTGTTTACTATATATTTTAAGTAATTTCTGAATTTTTTTTTTGAGTTAAATGAAATTTGAAGAACTGCGAGTATTTTCTTTAAGATTTGCGGAATTACAATTTAAAATATATAATTTATTACGTTTTTTGAAAAATTATCTTATTTGAAGTCGTTATTTATTATTTTTGAATTTATAAAATAATAACCAATAGTATTATAGGTTTTTGACGCACAGCACATGTCTCACGTGGCCACTTTGCACGCCCACCAATCATGGGTTTTGTCTGTGGCTCTTAATAACGATCACATTGCTTCGGGGTAACTTATTATTTTTTTCTTGCTATTGGGATTTGTATCTAATTCTTATAGCAAAAGAAATTTTTTAAAGCTCTGCATTACTATTTTTTTATTTCCTTTTATTATAGAATTCCTTAAAAATTGTTTGATGAATAATAAAGTATGATAAAAATAATAATAAATAATATTTTTACTTTTTATTATACATTAATTAATTTTTTAAAATCGTTCAATAAATTTTGATTAATTAAAGGTAAATTGTTTAATAAATAATTAATTAAAAAAATATTTTTTCTTTTTTATATATCTATTTATATTTTAATATCGTTTATTCATTTTATTTAGCTAAAAGTAATAATATTTTAAAATCTTATAAATTTGTAAATTTATATTAATTTTTTTAAAAAAAAAGTTCCAGCGACCATTTAGTAAAAATCTGGGACTTGCGCACCCGAGCTCGCCTTGATTCCTTTTCGAGCCACCAAGATCACGTTTATATGCTAATTTACTATAATTTCTTATAGCTTTTTATTAAAATTTATTGGGTTTTTTATAAATTTGAGTTAATAAGATTTTGGTTTTACTATTAATTAAAAGTTTATAATAATAAACTTTTTATTTAAAAATCTTCGAAAAAAGTTTTAATTAAATTTTTCCACAAAAGTTTTATAATTTATTAAGAAATAAGATTTTGTTTAAGTATAAATTATTATGAGAATATGGGATTTATTATACAATATATTAAGTTTTGATATACTATAAATTATTATGAAATCCTGTTAACAAGATTTTAACTATTTTTAAACTAATAAGGATTCCAACTTTATTTGTAAATATTTGAGTAATAAGATTGTGTAACTATAAATTGTTATAAAAACTTGAGATTTAATTTATAAATTGAGTTATAAGATTATGATTATTTATGAGCTTCTATTAGAATTTATTTACTTATAAATAGAGTTATGAAGATCTTTGAATTATAAATTAATATAAGAATTTGAGGATTACTTATTAACAGGCTTAACAAGAATTTTACTGAGCTATTATAAGATTTAGAGTTTTGATTTATTAATAGAGGATAAGATTTTATTTAGCTAGAAATTATTACAAGAATTTGAGATTCAATCTATATTGTAAGTTAATAAGTGTAGTTTAATTTTAAAATAATAAGATTTATATTAATTTTTAAATTTATTTATGGTTTGGCCTGTTTATGAGTTAATGAGGTTTTTATTATGATATATTAAAACTTTAACTTTAATTTATATAAGTAATTTATTTTTAGGATTTGGTCTGTTTGGGAGTTAGTTAGATTCTAATTAAAAATTTTATAAATTTATAATTTTATTATATAATTTCTATAGTTAGGATTGTTTGTGTATTAATATTTTTACTATAATTTTAAATTTATTTTATTTTAAGGTTTGGTCTGTTTGTTTTGATCAAAACGGCTCTCGTCTCGTTTCTGCTGGGGACGATGCTAAAATACAAATTTACAAGAGAGTCTGACTTAATTAAAATAAAGTTTAAATTAATATTATATTTCTTGCTGTTTTCCTTTAATTAAGTATTTTTTTATTAGGCGCTTTTCCTCTACTTATTGTGTTTTTATTAGTAGTCTTCTAAAAGTAGTTTATAATCTTGCGCAGAAAAGATTTTGATTTCATTTATTACTAAATAGCGTAACACACCGCAGCCAGGATGACGTGTAGACCCTAGTTTATTAGCCGGTCAAGAGAATAGTTAAAGTAAATTATATTTGAAAAGTTAATTTGAATAGCGAAATAAATTTGGATCATAGGTTTATATAAAAGTATTTTTTTCTCAATTTTGTTTTTGGGCTTGTGACTTTTTCATTACGCTTAATTGGAAATATTATTTAAAAAAGGCAATTAAAAATGATTGGATAGAATTAAATTTAAATTAATTACATACTTTTTTTTTCGAAGGTCTTTCAAATAAGGTTAATTTAATTTTGTAAATAAACTTTCTTCGCGGCTTAAATTTTGCTTTCCAGCTAAGCTTAATTATTATCGGAATTAATTTATTCTGTGGTAGTTTTATATAAATTTAAAATAAACTTGTGATTTCTTTAGTGCGCTTAAATAATGTTATTAAAGGTGGCATGTAATTAATCTAATTTTAAAATTAGCGTAAGGAAAATCACTTCTTGTTCCCGGTATGTCGAAATAAGCCGCCCGGTTTGACGGTGAAGTTTTAGTAAGAAGTAGTTTAATTAATGTTTTAATGAATTTATATAAAAAAATGGAAAACAGGTTTTAGTCGCTTTAAATTTTAAGAAAAAGTACTATAAGCGGATTGATTGCATTTTAAAAGTTGTCACTCGCGCATGTGACTTACTATAATTTTTGTGGCAGTATCAGTTTTTTAGCTTTATGTGGTGAGAGTTCAGCTTCAGTATAAAAATATCATGAACGCGTTTGATTTACCTTAAAACAGTTAGCTAAGAAAGGGTGCTCGGTGTATACGCTTGACTTAGTCGTTTATAAAGTTCCCACTTTACCAAATTTAAATAAATCGTTAAGCGGTTTTAATTAAATTTATTTTTTATTACTTTTTTTTGCAGTCGGTAGTCTGTTTGAGCATTCAAGTGATGATTGCAATAAAAATTTGTTTTTTTTTAGTTTGAAGTTAACGACGGAAGTAAGCATATTTACGTAAATTCAGCAAATAACCTTAAAAAGTTGATATGTGTAATATTTGTTCTCAATTTAATAAAAAGATGCTAATAAGTAAAACTTTAAATTCTTGTTCAATAATTTAAGCATTTACCAAAAAGATAGTATTCTCTATTGTATTTTAAAGGGACTTTTACTCCGGCCCAAAATATACTGCATTTTATGTATTTTAAAATTTCAAATTATTTTAAATAATGAAGTGAACATCATTTTTTTTTATTATTAGCAATAAAAAATAGCTGTGAAGACGTATTTCTATCAGTAAGAAAGACTATAATTTATATAAACCAGTATGTATGTATACTTTACGCCTACTTCGAATCGTTTTTTTAATAAAAATATAGAAGTGTGCTAAATTTTGCTTATTTTCATCTAATTTTCAACTGTAAGAAAGTAAATTTACTTCAGTTGAACTTCTACTGTTTACTAATTTTTACGGATTGTGCAGCAGTTCAGTAAGTTTTGTTTGTGCTTTGAGTTTAAATCTAACACGAATATAAATTAAAGGGAAGTGAGATAGCTAATTTTTTTTTCCACATGTTTTGTTAAGTTTTAAATATATGTATAATAATAATTTTGTTAATGTTATAATGTTTTTATATATTTATAATAATAATTATCTGATATTATGTTTTTAAAATATTCGTCCGATACGCAAAGAATGTCGCAGGTTATATTAATAAAAACGTGAAAGAGGAATGTATGTAATTATGTATTTTTATTATTACATTTTGGTATTAACAGTTTTTTTTAATGCATTATATTTTATTTATTATTAATAAATTGATTTACACATTTTTCCATCAAAAAATAACTGTTTTTGAAGCGGAAACAAAGAAAAGTTAAGTATATTTTGGACATTGAATTTTAATTTTTAAATAAAAATTGTAAATTTCTGTTATCTTTACTAACTTATTTTTGTTTAAAAGAATTAAATCTTTGAAAGCTGTTAAAGTGATTATTGTCTCGCAGTCTTCATATAAAAAAAGTTTATGTATAATTTGTAAGAAAAGGGATAATTTTTCTATGAATAAAAAATGTTTTATTAAAACGATATCGGTAGTTTTTTCTTTTTCATAATAAAAACTTGATAAAAAAGTTATGATTCTGCAATCCTTAAAATCTAACTATAGGCTTTTAGTTTTTTATTAATTACTTTATTGCATTTTTTCATAAATTTTTTATTTAAATTTAAATCCCAATAAAAGTAAAGCAATACTTTAACTATTATAAATTAAAAAAAAATTAAATTTTTATTTTTTTTAAGGCAACCTTTTAGCATAAGTATATTTATTTACTGCAAACTTTCCAATCTTCTTTCAATTATTTTTGATCTAACGTTATGGCTAAGCCACTGTTTGTAGAGCGCTTGATAATGGATAAGACTCAGCTTTAAGGGGTTCGTCCTCCTTTTTTATTATAAAATATATAATAAATAAAAAGAAAAATTAAGTTTATACATTAATTTTATAAACTTTTTTAATTTTAAAAAGTTGTAATAATATTTTGATTTATTAATAATCCCTTTGAAAAATTATATTAATACATAAAAGTAATAAGGAATGTTAAATAAAAAAAATAAATTAAAATTTTATTATATTAAAATTTAACAAACTTTTTTTATTTCCGGTTTCTTCTATTTGCAAATATTATATCTTTTTTAAACCAAAAAAAGATATAATATTTTGATTTATTAATTTTTATTTCAAAATTTATAATTTAAAAAAAAAAGAAGCAAATGTTAAAGAATAATTGGTTGTATAAAAAAGTAAAATTAAACTTTTTAAGATTTTTTCTTTTCAGTTTTTTAAATTAATTTTTTTTTGGTTTTAAAAAGTTTTTATAATATTTTGATTTATTTTTAACGCCTTTGAAAATTTATAAATTTAGATAAATAATAGGGACGAGTGCTGAAAAAAGGAATATGTTATAATAAAAAAAGCCTTTAAAAATTTTTTTATTTTCAGTGCTTTTAGTAAAAATTAATATTTTGTTTATATTAAAAAAGTTATAAGAATAATTTAAAAATAGCGACGAAATTTAAAATAAATAAATTTATTAAAAACGTAATAAATTTAATAAAATAAACAAAAATTATAATATTAAAAAAAATTTATTTTTAAAAGTTATTTTAAAAAAAATAAAATAAATGTAAAGTAAATAAAATAGAAAACACTTACAATCTTTATAAAAAAATTTTCTTATTAAATAATAAATTAATAAAAGAAATATGAAAAATTATTTTAATACTAAAAAACAAAAGAAATATAATAGTTATATTACCTGTTCTAATAAAATATTAAAGAAATTATAAAAAGTAATAATTATTATAGAAAAGATACTAATAAATTAAAAAAAGTAATAAAAATATATATAAATATAAGAAAAAGAAATATTAATTTTAATAGATACTAAAATAAAATAACCCAAAAGATAATAAGTTTTAAGTAAAACTTGCTTTAGCAAAAAAATTTCTTTTAAATAAGAATAAAAAGACTTTAATATAAATATAATTAATAAAAAAATAAATAAAATATATTATTAAAAAATTAAAAAAAGAAAAAAAAAATACTGAAAATGTTTATAATAATAAAAAAATAAAAATAATTATTATGGAAATAATAATTTGGTTCGTTATATAAACGTTTATTACAATAATAATTATATTAATTATATGTTAATAAAACTTATAATATAATGAAAATAATAAAATAAATAACATATAAAGTATAATAATTGAAATGATAATAAAAATATTAACATTAAATAATAATAAAAAATGATAAGAAAAGAATAAAAAAAATTTTTGAAGGAAAACCAATTTTCTAAAGAATATATAAAAATAATGAAAAAATAAGTTTCATATATATAAAAAGTAAATAAATATAAATATTTTTTTTTATTAATTTATAAATATTTCTTTGAAAAAAAAGTTATATTATAGTAAAAAATACTTAAGTTTTTAGAAAAGAAAAATATAAAGTTATACTCATTTTAACAGTAAGGAAAATAATACATGTGAATACTATTTTTCATGCAAAAAAATCTACTAGTAATAGAAAAATAATAACTATTTAATAACAAAAAAGTGAATTAGTGTGGACATCATATATATACATACTATCAAGTAGTATTATAAAAAAAAATAAGTTTATTTTGCTTATTCTATTTCATATTTTAATAATTATTTTATATTTTTTTATTTTAATAAAAATCTTGTTTGTTATACAAATAATGATAGTAACAATAGTAATATTAATAGTAATAATAGTATAGTATATATAAATAATACTAATAATACTACTAATATAACTTAAAATGAAAGTTATTATAATAATAACAATAATAATAGTAATAGGTATAATGATAATATTACTAATGATGAATACCTCAATCCTTTATCGGGCTCTCCATGGCTGTCCAAATAAGGAGCATCGAAGGATTCGGCATCGTTTTGGCCAAAAACGAATAAAATATCGCAATTTTTCGCTCTCAAGTATAATCCTCCAGTCTGAAAGCAGCTTTCAATTTATATATTAATCATTATAACTATATAAAATTGTATTAAAGAAAGTTTATAATTTTTAATTTCATTGTATTTTGGTATATAAAATTACGAAAAAAATTTAATTTTCATTATATTTTTATATAACTTAAAAGAAAAGTTATATTTATATTCATTTTATTTTTATAAATTAAGAAAACATCAATTTCGATTTCATTATATTCTTATAAATATATAAATAAAGTAAAATAATATTTATTTCATCTTATTTTGTAAATAAACAAATTCATAAAATTTCATAATTT